GGCTGAACCAGGACAAATGTGGGGCATTTTGTCTTGTGGACAACTTTAGCAGAAATCAAAGTTGATGTCTTCAGAGATGGGTTTCTCTGGGCCCCTTTTTTCTATGTCCATACCTCCCATTTTCTCCACACCGTGAGTTCAGTTCTCCCTTTCTTCTCTGGGCCTGGAATAATTGCCTTGGAGAAAAGTCGGGATGGGCAGAGCCAAATGCTAGTGCCACGATGGGAAGTATCACTAGTTTTTGACCCATAGGTTTTACGCAGAGTAGCTCTATTAAATGGGTGGCTGCAGTCCAGGCACCATGCTTTCTCCAGGATCTGCTTACCTGATTCTTCTCCAAAGTTGTTCCTGTCACTGAAGTGTAGAATATCACCTGAAGTTCTGGCATGGGTCAGGCATGGGTAAGGTTGTATTATATAAAAAGAAAACAGAAAACTGGAGAAGGGCCATCTCTCAGTAAGGCAGTTCCAGACAGGGAGGCTGGAGAGTAGTGACTTCTAGATGTAGGTGTGCCTGTCGGAAAGGCTGCTCTTCCCCAGCTGCTCGCTCTTTCTGGCTGGAGGAATGATCTAAGCACCACCTAATCTACTTCAGGCAGCAGCAGCAGGACTAATTCAACTTAAACTGCCTAAGCTAACCCGGCTGTTTGTGCATGAAAGTGGATTAGAGAGTGCCAAAATGAGCATGTTGCCAGCAGAGCTCCATAGGTGACCAGCTCATGGAAAGGGGCCGTCAGGAGAAGTCGGAGCCCAAACCTGCCCGGCCCTGGCTCTCTCCAACCTTTATGCAGCCGGATCCTGATCCAGCACTTCCTCCATCAGGGAATTCCCATTGAGTCCCATGCTGGCTCTTCATGCTGCAGCCCAGGTCCTCCAGGAAGAAACAGAGCAAAACCTGCCTGTTACTTGCTAAGTGCCCCATTTTGATTTCAAAATCACTGACAGACGCAAAATGCGGAACCCCACACTGAAATGTTTACAGTGCTGTTTCAGAGAGGGAGCACACTTTGAAAGTGAGGGAAAGTATGTGGGAAGTTTGCAGAAGAGAGTATACGTAGGAAATTAAAGCATGATGGAGCCGTTTGCATGGAGGGTTTAGGGAGAAACTGGTATTCATATTCCTCATCTTTCTTCTCAATTGACAGGATGATCCCTTCCATTTGTGGTTATTGGTCTAACTTTTGTCTTGATTTCCCTGTATTTTCAGTTTGCCAGCTTTCACTTTGTATTCTTTTCCTTTATAAACAGCACCAGTGAGCTGTGGAGCTCCAAGTAATTTGTTGCAATATAAGTAATCATTTCTTTATGTTTTTCTTCTGTTTATTTTTCTTAAACTAACAAGTGCAATGTGTTTCATGCAAATCAATGGGTTATTTAGCAATGGCTCAGTAATTGTATTTTATTTTTATGCTGAAATGCTTGATTTTCCAGTCACTCTTATTTCTATTTCATTTTCACCTAGAACTGCTTTCCACAAAGTAAGTGAAGAATGTTGGCTTCTCAAATCTGACACTCAGAATGACTTTTTTACTAGAATCTGTCTTACTATTTACTGTTGGCAAAACTCAAACGCGACAAAAAAAGGAAGTTACTTTGTTAGACTTGTCATTGCATTTGTATAGTCATACTTCTTGTTTTATCTGTGTAAGGTTCATTTGCTTCTCAGTTAGCTGTTTTTTACTGAGAAGAAAGAAAACAAATGAAAGATGGCTCAATTTTTTATTTTTAAAATTTAAACATTATAAGCCACAGTGAGTTGGAAAAAAACAAGAAATTATATGTAGGCAGAAATAATCTGAAGCACATCCAATAGGCTGTAGAAATACAGAAAACAGGAACATCAAGAGACACTTTGCAGAGACAGTTGGCAGCAAAGATGTGAATCTATTGCGTGTTATGATGGCAAAACTCCCCTTGCAATTTCGGTTTGTGTTTAATGATGCCACATACTGGAGAATAAAATAATTTGTTCCTTGTAGGATCACACCTGCAATACCATTTTTGTATTCCTGGCAGGCCATTAAAGAAAGTTATGTACCAACCGGAGAACCGTTTGGAGGAGAGAGCATCAAAATGGCGAAAGGCAACGGTAGGAAGAGGGATGTTAATCCATGTATCCACTCCATAATACAGGGCGGTTTAGGAGTTGCAGTCATAGCATATGCAATCGAAAACCTTGAGCACCATGGAGGGAGCTCTACGCTTGTGGACGCAGTACTAAGGAAAAACTCTCATCAGATAGGTATTAGGTTGTAAAATGTAAAGAAACAGATGAAGAGGTAAAAAATAGGGGTTGAAGGAAGTCAGGAAAAAGCTTCCTGCAAGTAAGTGCTCTTAGCTTGCGGGCTGCTCTTGGCCTTCGGAAGTGGCAGAAACCTCATTGTTTGGAGCGTGTGAAACTAGTCTAAACAAGCCCATAATAAATGTTTGATAGAGAACAATCTTGGGCTGGCCGAAAGCACTGGGTGACCTAATAGGTCATTTCCATCTGTGGAGTCTATATATAACAACTAACGATGCCAAAGAAGGTGTGAAACTTAAACACACATTTTTTTTTTCCCCCTAGAAAGCAAACCGTTTTCATAAAACACAGAAAGGGCCATCTGAAGTCATCCAAAGATATTTACTGAATCTTATCTAAGTCTGTTTTTATACAACGTGTTAGTAATTGCCTCGCCAGCTAGGACATTGGGCTGATTGACATCAAATGGAGTCCCCCCCATGGGGTCTAGCAGGGCCAGACTTCCTCCGGGAGCCCTTGGCCTGTGGGAAGCTCCCTGGAGAGGAGCTCTCCTCTCTGCTTAGGCAGTAGGATGTCTTGCTCCTTGGCTGCCGTGGGACAGTGCTTTGGGGCCTGCTTCACCTCGGGGACGCACCGGCTGGCATTTTGCAAGCAAGGCTGGTGCAGAGGAGGGGCTGAGGCAGCAGCACCACCACACTGCTTGCTCTGTTTATGTTGGTGTCCCGCTGTGGCGGGCAGAGGAGAGGGAATGTGAGTGGCTGCAGCGCAGACCCCTGGAAGCGATAGTGCCCGGGAGGAGGGCGATGACAAGCAGTGCGATGCGGCGGGGGTGATGGTCTTCTGCAGCCGCATAGCTGGATCCAGATTAGGGATCTGTGCACAAGGGATGAGTGTCTCTTGGGGAACTGGGTGGTTCCTCATCCAGCGTTCATTCTCAGACTGCTCTAAAACTGCAGTAGCAAAACTGGAAAGTGAAAGCATCCGATTCCATTATTTCCCCCTGGGTTTCAGACAAGGCAAATGTTTTCTTCTCAAACAG